CATTTGGACGCATTGAAGAACCAACGAATGCAAGTCATGTCTTCAGGTGTCTTGCGGTCAGTGTTGCAAGTGATGGACATTTGTGTCACTCATATACCGCAACAAAAGGCAAACAAATCAGTGATCGGCTGAAGAATTACCTCTCATTTGCGACGGCATTATCTTTTGCTCCATTGGTCCTCCGGTTCTGGTATTGTCTTCAATCACATCCAATGTCTTATGTCTTCAAAATCACAACTCATTTGGTTTTTTGCAAAAGATTTCCTCAAAAATGGTTTACTTTTTGAGTGCAAAACGTGTCATAAATTACGTCCAGATGTCAGACGTCGTGCCAAAGACAACAACAACACTGTCTTCTGGAAGTGATTCACGAATTGTCTTCAGTTTAGTTATGATTTACTCATTATTATAACCACTCATTTGTATCATAACATCCCTACCATTGCTCTCCTGTCATACCATTCCCCTCATTGGCGTCTAATTAACAGATGCTTTGATATTATCATCAACTGAGCCATCGATTCATTGATCACCGGTTTTGCGGTTATTTGGACGCAAATGATGGCAATGAAGAGGCCATCGATAGTGATATTGTTAGCGCTGTTTATATCAACACTGGATGTGGTGTTGAGTGACAGCAAAGTGGACGCGAGAGTGGAGTCCTTCCTGAGCACCGGTTCCCATACAAACAATTGGGCGGTTCTGGTGTGTGCCTCAAGATATTGGTTTAATTACAGACACGTGGCGAATGTGCTGTCCATCTATAGGTCGGTCAAGAGGTTGGGAATACCGGACAGTCGTATCATTTTGATGATCGCCGACGACATGGCCTGCGATGCGCGCAATCCAAAGGCGGCCACTATTTTCAATAACGGACAGCATTTCATCAATGTTTACGGCGATGATGTCGAGGTTGACTACAGGGGTCAGTATGCCATACCATTGGATGAGATAATGTCATCCATACCATTGGATGAGATAATGTTTGATTGTTTTAATGGTTTATTTGTTTGGCTTTGTTTAGGATATGAAGTGACGGTCCAGAACCTGATCCGTCTGTTGACGGGTCGCGTACGCGATGGTACCCCGAAGTCGAAGCAACTGCTGACTGATTCCGGGTCTAATGTGTTGATATACATGACCGGACACGGAGGCGACGGTTTCCTCAAGTTTCAGGACTCGGAAGAGATCACATCCGTCGAGTTGGGCGACGCCTTCGAGCAGATGTGGCAAAAGAGACGATACAACGAAGTGCTGCTAATTGTGGACA